ATATATATATATATATATATATATATATCTCTCTCTCTCTCTCTCTCTCTCTCTCTCTCTCTCTCTCTCTCTCTCTCTCTCTCTCTCTCTCTTCATTCTCTCTTACTCACTCATTCACTCACTTACTGCCTTTACATTCAAGTTACAGAACTATTCCACGCAAAATCACTCATTCAAGGCGGTTTTCTAATTATTTCGAGCGGCGCATATTTCTCATACTAGACAGTCAATCTGAAAGGAAAAAACAGAAAACGATAAAAAACAACAACAATCACTCTTTTGTATATGAAGTTAATATAGAGTGTTTTCTTTGAACAAGCTACGTATTTAGAATATCTTTCATTAAGATATTCGCGTTATTTGCGCCGAGTTACTTGTGACGTCACAAGACATAAGATATGTAAACAAAATACATCGCGGGCACTCGTTACCTCGCCAGGCGCCGATATAAATATATCGTAAGTCAGTATAACGCTGTACGTGATCCCAACAGCACGTACCATATTACAGTCGTGTACACTGACTGTTGACGGTTTCGTTTACGAAAGTAATTTCAGAGAAAGTGAAAGAAAGATAGAACACGGTAGTAGAGCTCATTCGAACGATTCTTCCTTCTCAGCCGTTACAAGTGCCCTGTGATGTGACGCGATGCCGAGGAAGGGAAAGATAACGCGAGTGTACCTAGACAGGATACTGCAAGTGCTTCACGAAGAGCAGCTGATCCAGCGGAGAAAGATCCTGAGATTGGCGTGAGTACTTTGGCAATATCAAGGCCTTTATTCTGAACTCTCTTTTATCGATAAAAGCCGTTTGATGGGTCTACAAGCACATTTTGAGAAGTACATACTTTTACAAAATAATATAAAATATTATGCTATAATGTAATTATAATCTTACTCTATTAACATAAAAGAGAGTTTAGAGTAAGAATCTAAGTATCAGGTCGGAAAAGAATTGTCGTCGCGACGCTGTTATCGTCGTAATTTCTAACGGTTATCTCTGGTCGACTAGAAATTCTGATGTTCTTTAATCGAAACTCGAGACGCGTCTTCTCGCCAACGACATTGTGGCAAAAGAAAAGAAAGACGAGAGCAATAAGATTTCAATGATGTGCAAATAAAATTTTCTGTTCCGAATGTAAAACAGAGAATTTTACGAAGAATTCCATGTGGCAGCAAAATAAATTTAAGTTCGAGATAATGCTCGCTACGAATGTTACTCATCATCGTCGGATGGCATTGTCAAACGGAAAAAAAAAAATTAGTCGAGGTCCATGCACTCACCTGCGATGGAATGCATTTCACGCTATACCATTCATACGGACGGAACGCGAGTAGAATTTTAAAGATCGCGGGTTCGTATTTACGCAAGATAATAATTCAGCATTCCCGATCGGGTAACGAAATTTATAAGTTGATCGCGAAATTCGGACGATACTTTCGCCCAAAGCAATCTTATGTTTATTTATATTTACAATCATTTTCGCGACATAGTCCCGCGACAGCATTCTGTCTATAACTTTACGTATCGCGTGTAATCAAATTTTTGAAAATATTAAATTTTTCTCAAAATTCAATAATTGATTTGAAAAAATATATTTTAATTTAACTAATTAAATCTATGTATCTATGCATTTTATGTGCAATAGCCTTTATTCGCGACCCTGCTTCAAAAAATGTGCAACTTCGTGTGCCTACTACTGATACGCGCATACAGCAACCCGCAATACGCATGCGCGAGGAAACCACACTGCTACCAACATTATACTGGACCCGACTTTTAAAGGATTAATTTTTGGAAAGTTGAAATTTTTTTTCAAAATTTTTAGAAAATTAGTAAAAAGAGAAACATTCATATACAAAGCTTCGAGATATAATAATCAGCGAGATGTACTCGCTAGACTAGTATTAGTAGCAGAACCGCTTCCTCGCGCATGCGCATTGCGATTCGTCGTGCATCCAAGCAGAGTTGTGAAAATATTAATAAAGTTTTTCTTGATTTAAAAATTGATTTGAACAAAAATGTTTCAGTTGAACTTATTAACGATTGATTCGAACAATATCAACTAAGAAATATTTAATTGACGATTGAACTTAGCAAATGTAATTAAAAGCCGTTTAATTCATTTCGTTAAAATCAATCATCAAACATCAAACATTCTTCAGTTAATTTTACTCAAATTGTCAGTTGAATTGAAATATATCTATTGAAATATATATATATATATATATATATATATATATATATATATATTGAAATATATATGAATATATTGAAATATATTCAGATCAGTTATTAAATTGAGGAGACTCTTATTGATATTTTTATAACTCTGCTACCGACGTGCGTACGACAACTCGTCGAAATAATAATAGCCGAGAAATAACAGCTTGTCATAGTATCTAAGTTATTCGCTATGTGACAATGCATCCCACGCGATGCACTTACGGTCGACAGGTGCACGCGATCGCGGCTCGTGGTGCGCAACAGGTAGCATCGCCTTCCGCGTCCTTTCGAATTTTGGTCGTAGCACACCTGGGTTTCTCCGCGTAGGTGCAAGATGCATTCACGGCAAGCGGTCGCCCGTAAAGAGAGAAAGAGAGAGGGTGAGAGAGCGAAGGAGGGAGGGAGGGAGAATCGTGCCAGCCGCGTTAGTTTACGAGCAGTCTGAACGAATGGAATAAGAAGAAACCGAAAGTATCAAACGGCAGACATACTGTTATATGTCCGTTAGTACAGTGAACGCAATAAATCGTGAGGATATCGTGAGTGCAGATAATTACAATAATGTAAAAATCGGCACAATTTATGTGCCTGTATTATTTTTGTAACCATCATTTAATCCAACTTATTTTCACTCGACGACACATTAAATTCATTGAAAATTTTAGTGCATTATTCTTATTACATTTAACTTGTATTATCATAATTATTTTTGCTTGATATCCTTGTTTATCGTCACTTTTACATGATTCCTTACTTTTTGACTCGCTTCAATGAGTCACGCAATTTATAATTATATTGATGTTAGCTCAGGATATATTTTTAACGATAGGATGGCGAACACGAAGCGTAATAATATTCACAAAGAATATAAATATTCCCAAAATAGACATTCTTGTTCTCTGAGAAACTAACAACGCGGTTGAACGAGAAATGAGGTATCACCGCGACGATTACGGCGGCGCCAATTCTGCACGCGCGGCTGAATCACACGAAGGAAATAACATTGCGGTAATAACATTGACCGCATGCCCGATGGAAACTCGCATTGGTATCATTTCCTGCGACATCGCTCGCTCTCTTTCCCACCACGCTCGCGGCGGTTATTTAAATTATTCCGATACCCTTCGGGGGATTCATGTCGCAAAAAGAGCGAACGCTAGATGATCCACTGACGTCACGCGTTGCAACGCGTCGACGATCGACAGGATCATCGTCACTGACGTATCGTGGGCTGCGTCGGATCGTTCTACCTTTGCGCGAGAGAAAGCAAGATTTGTATTGCGAGAACTTGTATTTTACGATTTTGACTCGCACCCATCTTATTCCCGTTTTCAGTTTTTTACGAGAAAAACATAGTAATATTTTCATTTTTCTATATGGGCTTTGGTTTATTCACTAGAGGGCGCCAAAGTTAGTAGAAATATTCCCTTATAACTTTATAACCAATATAACCAATTTAAGTTATAAGGAGACGTTTTCTCTAACTTTGACGATCTTTGGTTGGTAAGCTAGAACCCACCCAGATAACACAGAGAATTCAAAAAGAATTTAGTCATATGTCACCCATTCTGAGTTAATTCTTAGGTGCAAAAAGAATTCTTTTCACTGAACTGAACTCTGAAGAATTCTTTTTGCATTTAAAAATGAACTCAGAATTGCTGACATACGACTGAATTCTTTTTGAATTCTCTGTGCTATCTGGGCAGTCATGACTAAAGCAATTCGTAGTTATCCTATTTCCCTTCAATTTTTTATAAGAAAAACGTGGTAATATTCATTTTTCTATAAACTTTACTCACCAGCAAACCAGAGAGCGCCAAAGTTAGAAAAAAATTTTGGTTACGTCGATAGTGCTTATTGTTAGAGGCGCTCAACATAACAACCTGGACGACGGAATTTCAGTTCTTTTGAATTCAAAACTAATTTTTATTATACTTTATTAATTTCTTTGTAAAAATCTCCTATCTAAATCGGAACTTACTTAATTATAGAAAAGCGATAGAGAGACAAAATGAAGGAATAAGAGCACGAAAAATTTTTCTGTAGCAACGAGATTCCTCTTGTTACTACAGAATTTTATCATTTCTCAGAAAATGTTTTTTGTCACGTTCCGTCGAGTCGGTTAAAGTTCCTCGCGGTATAAATTTCGTGGAAAATAATAAATTCTCATACAACCGTAATATGATCAAAGTTCAACACCTTAACGGAGATCATCCTGCCGAGTTGAATGTTGCTCTCGCTCGCATCCTCATATTATTCTCACGAAATCTCGATTTTTCCCTCGGGCTGTTCGAACGCGTCATACATCACTGATCCCTGCGGTAGTATCCACACCGCATAGGCACGTTCAAACACACACACCCACATACATATATATATATATACACACACACATACATAGACTTGCACACGACCTCTCCCAGGTACCAAACGGCACACCTATGGAAGCAGGTAGAGCAGCGGCACACAGATGCACGATCACGTATACACGCGAAAGGCAAGAATTCCACGTGCGTACAAGCCGAAGGAAGAAAACACGGCTGTGTGTACCAATACACGCAACGTGCACGCACACACGAAATTAAGAATCATACCTCCTGTGCGTGTGGTGTACGCGAGTACAAGGAAAAGAACACGCCGCGCCGCATACACACTCGCGACAGATAAAAGACGAAGAACACGGTGCACACATACACACACACGCGCGCGCGCGCGCGCACCGTCATCCATGCACGGACAGGTGTGGAAAAACGCGGCGTGCATGCGTATGTGTGTCTGTGTGTGTGTATGTGTGTGTATATATGTGTGTGCGTGCACAGGTAAGACCGACGAGAGCGATCGAGCGAGCGAACGAGCGAGCGAGCGAACGAACGACACTCGTCGAGGGTCTCAGTGAGGTGTTCACCGTCGTGTGTGCAACTCCTCGTGGTTTCGCGGGCCTCCGCCTCTTCCTCCTTCACCTTCCCCTGCTGCGCTCGGACTCGGGGGACCAGGTAGACGGAGTGCGAGGTCGGATTCCGGGCCCGACGCCGAAGAACGGGCTCCCGGGATCGTGTCGATACGTTAGCCTTGACGGGCGCCAGCCAGCCCGGACACGCACGCATTCAAGCCGGCGAACACACGTGTGCCGTCGTCTTCGTCGTGAAGCGCACAGGTGGTTATCGCGAGGACTGCGAGCGCGCCTCCCACGTAATTCGGTCGCGAGAGAAAAGGGGAGTTCTCTTCTCCGCTTCCAAGAGGAAGCGTCGCGACGACCTCTGGCCAGCCGCGTCGTGATCGAGGAGGGCCTCTCTTCGGGGTGCAGAAGTGACCGCAGGATGGGCGACTGATCTGCCGGGGTGTGCGTGAGCGGCGAGGATGTCGACGACGGACGTGGTCCGCATCGTGCAGCAGGGAGCCGCCGCAGACGAGGACCAGGGGTAATCTCTCGCTCTCTTCGGCTCCGATTCGGCAGGGACGTAAAGAGCGCACGGTGAAGGGCCTCCCGGCTGCCCGGTCGGCAGCACGGCGAAATACACGGTGC